ACACGGGGCACATTGGAAAGTACAGCATCCTATTGCAGCTCTTGGAGCTGGTGCCAGCTCACATGCAGCCCAGCCACAGTGGAAGGGCCCAAAGGCCACCCCTCCAACAGGGAACTTCTCAGGTTGACTGTGTGCCCAGGGTGACATGCTGCTGTGTAGACATGCTTTTTCTAGTTTATTGCCCATTGTGTCAGCTTAAGACCATTTGACCAACATGATATTGCTTTTACTTAAAGATAAAATGTTATCTTCCGGGTAAGATATTGAGGTGCTATATGTCATCCAAAACCTCATTTTCTTGTTGCAACTCTTAGAGACTGATAGTTGCCCTACAAGTGCAAACTGGCTCATCAGCCACCAATACCAGGAGCAATTGAAGAGAAGCACACACTTTGGCAGGGGGTTGGGTGTGTGCAGCTGAACAGATGGAGGAGTCTGCAGCCATTGTAAAGCCCACACAAGGTATTATTTAGCACTGTCTGTTCCTGCAGTATTTATTTATCCATTTTCCTGATCTCCCTGTTTATTGAGCAGTATGGTATGGGAAGCAGCACCAAAGCCTCCTTCACCCCCTTTGTGGACCCCAGAGTATACCAGACATCTCCCACTGATGAAGACGAAGAGGATGAAGAATCATCCGCTGCAGGTAAGTGAGAAGGCCCTGGTTTTTTAGCAGCAAATCAATTTTCTTTCTGGTGTGGCCCTGATGAGAAAATTAATCATTATTTCATTAGTTAAGCCATTTAATGCTTAGGCCATGCCTTAAAAGGAAGATCTTGTTAATTATTATTTTTGTAGGATTCCTAAAACAAATCTCTCTCCTTCCTCCCACCCCATCTTTTCTATTTTGCTTCTGGTAGGAATCCAGAGGTATCCAGGAGCCCTAGGAAAAGCTGTTCCCCAGCGATCTCTGAACTTACCACATATTTCCCAAAAACAATTTCTGGGTACAATGCTATGCACGCAATAGATATTTAATAAGTGTGTGTTGGATTGTGTTGAGTTCTAGGTGTGCGCTTCCCACCACAGAAGCCTGGCTGACTTGGAGCCTGGACTTGCTTTCTGAACTTTTGTAACTCACTAATCATTAAAGTCACCGTAGGCCAACTTTCCCATTGAGAATGTGAAATTTCCAAAATCAATCTTACATGCATATATTTACAGGAGGTGGTGATGATACATTTAATTTTATGAGATTAATATTAATTTTCTAAACCATCCAAATAGTATCTGTGAGGCTGTTTGGCTAGTGAATGGGGCATGGTCATATTTCATGAATAACCCCATGAATCACACCAAAAGCCCTAAGTGTGTTTATAAAGCATATGCTTCTATGACTTACGCTTTATTCTACTAAAAAAAGAGTAAAATAGGTATAATTTCAGAGTTTCTGTGCCCTTTCTATAATACATACTAAACAAGGGGAAATCAGTGTTTTGAAGCCCCTTCTCCAAATCTCCACTGGTTATCTTTTAAGATGCCATTGACTTTTCTGATTCTTTTTCTCAAAGCTCTGTTTACTAGCGAACTTCTTAGGCAAGAACAGGCCAAGCTCAATGAAGCAAGAAAGATTTCTGTGGTAAATGTAAACCCAACCAACATTCGGCCTCATAGCGACACACCGGAAATCAGAAAATACAAGAAACGATTCAACTCAGAAATACTTTGTGCGGCTCTGTGGGGTACGTCGGTACTTTTGTCCTTGTTCATTAATGAATTGGCCCTCAAACGTCAAATGCCTGTGGATTTTACCATGAGGAAACACTAATTGAATGGAAGGGGTTAGCAGCCTGGGACTACCTTGGCCTCCAGAGAAACCAAAAGCAGTGCTGTATGTAGAGAGAACCTAAACCCTACCATACCTAATGCCAAGGATGACTTCTATAGCAATGGGCGAAAGGCGACCACAGAACCATCCACCACTTCTTACACACCCATTGTGTTCCCACTGGGTGATGTGCCCCACATTCTGTCTCTGTGATCCCTGCAGCATCCTGCAAGGGGGAAATGGCTATACCTTCATTTCACAGCTCCAGTGCAGGATAATTTAGTGAATGCCCCAAGGCCATACCATCAGTAGTAAGAGAACTTGAAATGAACAACAAATGATGAGCCTTCCCTTTTAGTTCGCATCATCCACGTGCAATTCTCGTGGAAGTGATCTGCAGGTGTTAGCTGACCTCCTACTCAATATAGGCATGATGAGAGTCTATCAAAGTCCTGGTCTGGGTTACTGTAAGCATCACAGACAGATCAGGACATGGCCCATCTGTGTCCATCTAGGCCTGAACAGGGCTACCATACCTTCAACTAAAAGCATTTGGAATGTTAGCAAGAAAAGTGTGCAGTCTGGGGATCGTTTCCTAAGAGGTATGATAGCTCTGTCCTCTGGGGATGAGACAGGACAGCAAGATAGCCACAGTTCATATGGCAAGGCTTAACGGGTGGATGAAAGAGCAGACATGTTCTCAGAAGATAGAAGTACCAAGAAGAGAGGTTCAAAGGGGGACATATTTATGAATATAGTCCACTGTGCAGTGAACCTCTTGAGGTATGTATATTGTGGTGGGTGGATGATTGATGTCTTGAAGTATGAATCTTTAGGATGCTAAACTGTCCAGATAAGACCACTTACCTGCCAGAGCTTTTGCAATCAGGGTGTCTCCATGCCAGGTAGGATGGACAAGCATTAGACCCCTGAGAACTCTCTTAAAGTCAGCGTTCATGTGACTCTCTATCTGTTAACACCCTCTCTGGATGTCCTGTTTCCCCAACAGGAAGCTGAGCCTGGAGTGTAGAGGACATAAGAGAGTCAAATTTTGATTTGAGGAGGAGGAAGGGCTTTTGTTCCCATGGAGTATAGAAATGTAAACTCTGTTGGATGCCCAAGGTAGATAGTTAGGTTCCTGAGAAATAACTACAGGAGTAAATGTGGGGTGAACACTGGGGAAAGAGAAGTGGATTATTTAAGGAAAGCCACGAAAGAGGCGGTTGTTACAGGAAGGAAATAAAGGGAAATTGTGCCACCTTCACAGCTGTGCCCAAGGCTCCCCTTGACAAGGTTTCTCTGCGTTAGGTAGTAAATGGCTCGATGTAATGAATGCAGCTACCACTTTATAAAAGAAAACTGTAATTCCATTACTAGAGGGACAGTGATTTAATTACTGTGCCGGAGTTTCTACACTCCCTACTGTAGTGGTGACTTGCCCATTATTTATATTTACAAAGCAGTTCCTTAGGTGTTATGGGAACCCCAGATGCAGAAGGTCAAAGCTCACAGAAAGTCAGTCTTAGGGTGTTTCTTAAATTTGCAGGTGTAAACCTTCTGGTGGGAACCGAAAATGGCCTGATGCTTCTGGACCGAAGTGGGCAAGGCAAAGTGTATAATCTGATCAACCGGAGACGATTTCAGCAGATGGATGTGCTAGAGGGACTAAATGTTCTTGTAACAATATCAGGTATGTTACCAGGTCGATCACCATGGTTCCCCAGGTCTGTGCAAGTAGGAAAGGTAATTACCTCGTTTCTGAAGAAATTCAAAACTCTGCCATTCCTGTCCAAGAAGCATCAGAAAGTGGTAACAGGGTGGCCAGCGTGAGATCACCCATTGGGAAGCCTCTCACCTCTGTATTAAATCTGAGTGACACAAAATGTTCCACAAAAGCTGTGTATTCATGGTTCTTTACCTCTATCAGGACTCGGCAAGGATTTTTTTTAAAGATGCCAGCATCCTGAGATGGAGAATGTAAAATGTAGGCTCCTGGGAGGAGAATTGAGTAAACAGAAATTTCTCTGAGCTCTTCTCTTCTCCCACTTGTGGTCCATTGATATCTTGGGAAGTGCAGCTGGACCTTTGGGGTGACCAAGTCTTCAGAGCAGAGGGAGCCAGTCATAACTGCTACACTCTGTAGCTCTTCCGAGCTCCCAAAAGAGATTTTTCTTTTTTCTTTTTCTTTTTTTTTTTAAGGTTGGAGATAAAAGTGAAAGCCTTATTATTTTTTAAATATATATATGTGTACATATATATATATATACACATATTTTTTTAGTTGTCAACGGTTCTTTTGTTTTATTTATTTATATGTGGTGCTGAAGATAGAACCCAGGGCCTCATCATATGCCAGCAAGTGTTCTATCACTGAGCCACAACTCCAGCCCTGAAAACCTTATTATTGGTAAAATGCATCCCGAAAGAGTCTGTGTTTGTTGAAAGGAAGGATTTTTTTTTTCTTTCTCATAATCCTTGAAGGAGTTTAGCAAATGCCCCCTCTCCCTCCCAGCCCATCTACTCATGGAGATACCTGGGGAGAAGTGAAAATAAAAGCTGCACCGCAGACCAGGGTCAGGACCTCTGGGAGTGGGGCCCAGGCATGCACAGCGTTCAGAGCTCCCGAGGGGTTTCCATCATGCAACCAAGTTTGTGAACAGGGATCTACACTCAGCTTTCACAACACAGAGACAATGCAACCTTGCACTGAACCTCAAGGAAAGTTTAACTCTTGAACTGTACTTTATATTTGGAGAAAATGCTTCACTTGACACCCCAGTTCCCTGTTTATTTTACCTTTCCACTGAATGCTTAGAGATTTGTTTTGCTTTGTTGTTTGTTTGGTTTTGGGACTAGAGATTGAATTGAGGAGTGCTCCACCACTGAGCTACATCCCCAGCCCCAGTTTTTATTTATTTTGGGACAAGGTTTCACTAAATTGCCAAGGGCCTTGACAACTTGCTGAGGCTGACCTCGAACTTGCAATCCTCCTGCCTCAGGCTTCCGAGTCACTGGAATTACAATTGTACACCCCTGTGCCTAGCCAAGGACTTGTTTTATCCTTCCCCAAAACGGGTTAACCAAGTCAATTCTTCCTGTATTGTGAACTGAGTTTAATTCTGTGTAGTCCTTTGTTCTGGCTAATTGCTTTTTTGATTGCTACATTACCAAATCAAAATTAGAAGCACATGTCTGTCAGTCATCTACCCAAAGTGGAAATGCTACCAGAAAATTCATGTTCGGGCTTTATTATGTTGTTAGTAGCACATCCTCATTCTTAACTATTTCCTGTTATCATGAGGCACAGATGGGGAAAAGAGAAAATTAAAATAGGAGCACAAGGTGCTTGAGTTGCCCTTGGATCCATAGTGTCATAGAAAGGAGGAAGCACTGGTGTCCCTGCCCGTCCTGGCTGTCCTGAGCAATGCATGTTCTACCTTCTGGTTACAAAAGCGAATAGCCACTGCATCATGATTCCTGGATTTCAGGTCCGAATGCACCAAGTCTTGTGTCAAATCCAGCGCATGGATTCTCTTCTTCTGGTATATATCACATCTGTGAAATGTAAGACATCTTTAAAGACAACGAGAAATCAAAGGAAAATAAGTTTTCAAGAAGTAAAACCTACATGCCCATATTTCTCATTACTTAGGAAGAGCCACCCCAGTGCTCCTCAGATAATCTAATGGAGATAATCTCCATTTTCCTCTTTGCATGCTCTTCCTGCAATCCAGTGGTTTTCTTACCATCCTATGAATTCTTACTCCAGATCACTTTAGCAAAAGGAGCTTCTAAGTTGTTTCCAGATCCACATCTTTTTTCTTCTTTCCCATTTTTTTTTCAGTGACCACAGCCCCTTGAACCTGTCCAATATCAATTTCTGAACCCAAACTGCCTTTGTTGAACTTGTCTCCCTGTCTCCTCCTAAAATCCTTTTTTTCGTTAGTTAGATAAAGCCACTAACAATTGTTATCTCTAATTCACTAAGTCCCCAGTTTTTAATTCTGCAAATATTTCAGTGAAATTGACACAGATGCATTAAAGTAAGTTAGAAATCATAATCTAGAGCTTCTATATTATAGTGTTCATTGGTATTAATTTAAATATTACAATTATTGCAAAATAGTTTTATATGTATATAATTATATTGTCTACGATAGTTTAAGTTTTTATAGGTATTCCACATCTGGGATCGTAGGACAAAGTAGGTTCAAGGGATAGAGAAGAGGCTTTCCATTGCCATCCACTGCCAGGTCAGAGTGTGAGTGAAAGACAGGACTCCTGAGGAGCTAAAACGCTCAGCTGTCAACACTGCTTCATGGGCTCAGATCTAGAATGTCCTGAAACTATGATCAACCATGCTGTTTGTGGCAGACTTGGGTCTTAGTGAGTTTAGCAGATGCTGGCAAGAGAGAAAAGAGCAGCTTGCTCAAGTAAGAAACCACCTGAAGGTAAAGACAGATTGTAATTTTGTAATTTGTCCAAAACACTTGGAGCTGTTTAAACCACAAGTCCTGCTAGAGAAAACACTTTAATTGTGAAGCACGGGGGACGCTGGTTATTACACTCTCACACACACAAACTGTAAACAAAAAGATGGGAAAAAACGTGGAGGTAAGGGAGGAGAGGAAAAAAGCTATCACAGGGACTTGGAATTAAAGCTCTGCCGTTTCAATAGGAAAGAAGAATAAGCTGCGAGTTTACTACCTTTCATGGTTAAGAAACAGAATATTACACAATGATCCAGAAGTGGAAAAGAAGCAAGGCTGGATCACCGTCGGGGACCTGGAAGGCTGTATACATTACAAAGTTGGTAAGTCTCCAGACACGGGATTGCAAATTCAGTGTATTTACTTCGTCAGAGTTATTCAGTTAAGTTTCATTCAGTTTTTCAGTCAGATATTGATGATGCCTATGTGACCAGCTTAAGATGTTGCTGGAACCTAGAAGTATATTCGAATTATTCCCCCAGAAGTCAAATTTGTGAAGTTCAAAGGAAGCATTCAGAATTAAGTCCTAGGCTCCAGTTTGAACTTTTATAGGTACTTCCTCCCAAGGACACATTAAAAGAATAAAAATGTACTATGCCTACAAGGTCAAAGGGACCAAGAGGAGAGATGCCAGCAAACAACAGATGTCAATAAAAGTGAACAAGAGGAACAGACCTAGCAGACCAGGAAATGCTAAACCTATAACTGGGAAAATTATCAAAATAATCCAGTCACTCTGCAGAACACAGAAAGGCCCAGGGACTGAGGGCCCAGGAGAATCTGAGGCAGAGTTATAAGGTATGTCTGAAAAAGGAAGGATTTGGGGAAGCGGATCAAAGCAAGGCCTCCAGGACCCAGGACCTTCCCAGCAGGCAGGGTGCTCCCTCCCTCACTACAGCAAAAGAGGAAAGGTTTACATGGCCAGTTGATGGTGGGCATCCTCGTGAGGGCATACTTATGCATGACCCTCCCTTTGCCTCTTTAGCTCCCAAAGTGTTGGCAACCATGATGATGATCATATTCTCAAGGAAGAGTTTGAAAGACTTGTCTTTGAAGAAACTAAATGGCCAGAAAGAAAAGATGTACAGGTACTAACATTTGAAGTCATGAAGAAAAAGATCTGCTATCTAGCTACTCAGCAATGAATCCTAGCAGCTGATAGGTCTCCTATAAATAAGTGGAGACAGGGAACATGAGGGAAAGTGAAACAGAATGTAAGGACCTTAGAATAAACAAAGATAATGAGGAGTGAAGAAAATATAGGGAGAAAAGGAAGGAAAGAATTTTAGAGGATTAGAAAAATTGTTTCGGTATCAGAAGAATAGGGCTATTTAGAAAGGGAGAGCAGGTGGGGAGAGATCATTAAGAAACCAATCTTACAAACTGTCGCATATTGGCAGAAATAAAATTTTAATAGAAATGTTGAAAGATAAAGATGAGGAAATGTCCTAGAAAGAAGAATAAAAGAAAAGGGAAAGGAAAGAAAAAGAGAAGAAAAAATTAACCCAGATTTTCAAAATCTGAGTCTTAGAAAAAAGGGAAAAAAGAGGAATGTAAGAGACATTTCTAGACCCAAAGGCCTTGGCATCCCAGATTAAAAGGATTCTGAGTACCCAATATACTTACTTTAAAGAAAAAAAAAAAAGACTTCAAAGAAGGCCCACCAACTGATATTTCAGTACCAAGATGGCAGAAGTCCTTAAAGCTTCTGTATTCTAAGTAAATTGATAAACATTTTATATATAGTAGATACAGAAACAGAGGCTTGGTACTTCTCAACAGCAATCCTGGAAGTTTAAAACTTCTGCCTTCAAAATCTGAAGGCAAAATTATTTCTAACTTATATTTTGTAACTGTCAGTATTGGGGTTCATGTGTTTGTGTGTGTGTGTGTGTGTGTGTGTGTGTGTATTATAAGGAATTGGCTCTCATGATGATGAGACCATGAAGTCCCTGCAGTCAGCAAGCTGGAGACCCAGGGGAGCCAATCTTGTAGTTTCAGTTCAAAAGCCAGCAAGCTCAAGACCCAAGAAGAACTGTTGATGCAGCCTGAGTCCAAAGGCCAGAAAAGACTAAGTTCCCAGCTCAGTCAGGCAAGAGGATGCAGACTTTTGCTTTTATCCAAGTGTTCAATTGATCAAATTGTACCCACCTATTCTGAGGAGGACAGTCTGCTCTCATTTAAAAACGTCCTCACAGACACATGCAGAATAATGATTGACCAAATATTTGGGCACCCTGTAGCCCAGTCAAGCTGACAAATAAAATTAATCATCATATCATCAAACCATTGATCAACTTTGGTGCAAAATGAACATATTTTCAGGTGTGCAGGGTCTCTAAAATGAAAATTTCACACACCATGCTCAATAGCTACCAGAAGATGTGTTCCACCAAAATGAAGAACTAAACCTGGTAATCCAGGAAAAAGATGAAGAAAATACCCAGAATAATGGTGAAAGGAACCAAAATGATAACTCTGCCACTAGCCTAGAAAGAAATCAGTCCCAGCTCAGTAGGACGATGCAGGATTCCAGGAGAGTGACTTCAAGAAAAATAAAATGGTACCAATGGATTCCCCGCTGCGGTTGACCATGAAAAAAGGCGTGTCTTAGCACAAAGTTTACACATGCTTAGAGTAGGTAAAATAGGGTAGTGAGGAAAAATTAAGGAAATGTAATTATGGTATATCACAGGCCCCAGGTGTGTACACTGACAATTTGAACACTTTATGTTGCTTTAACCAAAAATATAAACTCTGTGTTGGAGGTGTGAGGGAGAAAGTGATTTATGTGTATGTAGAGATAAAAGGAGATTATATAAGAAACTACACCCTTTTCTTATTGTTAAGTTTGGTAGATAGTGTCTACAATTGAAGAAAATAAAAAATAAAAAAACCTGAATAAGCACATTACTTGGAAATCTGGAAATAAATTGCCAAATAAGAAGTTTAAAAAGTTGCAAGTATTTGTTTGTGGGAAACAGGACTTGGGACTGAGGCAGGGACTTGTTTTTTATATGCCTTATATGACCATTTGACTTTTTAAAATATGTTTCTATAAAACATGTTCAAAGTTGATTAAAATTAAGAGAATGTGTGGAGGTTGTTAAATGTGACCTGGATAAGATGGATTATTTAATGTAAGGAGTGTCCATAGAGGGGCAGCAGAGTAGCTTTCCACACCTTCACTTCAAAAGTGTCTGTGACATAGTGACAGAAAAGCATGGTGCACAGTTGAAATTGTTACCTGAAGAGCTGGTCCAGTCGTGTGTGTTATGTGACAGAAGCTGAAAGCTACTTAGGTGTGTTAAAGACAGAGTATGAAACAGGGCCATGCTACAGAAGAGCTCAGAAAGCAAGAATTCGGTCATTTGGCCCATCCTGGCAAGAACCCCAGTATGTTGTCTTCTGCCAACTGAAGAGGGGACTGTTCTGAAGCAAAGTCTTCATGTACCTTTCCTCTAATTTCATTTCAAGTGACCTTCCCAGATATCTTGACACTAGGAAGCATTGGTGCTATATAGTGAACTTGAAGGTTCCAGTGCCTAAAGGGATAAGCCCCCACTATTTATCAACATTATTTGGGTTTTATTTTTTTAAAAATTATCCTTACAACACAATGAGCTTATTAGTATGCATTTAAAGCAGGTGTTGAAGAAAATAAACATTAAATGCCTGTAAACATATGTGACTACAGCTGCAGTCAAATCTAGCGTAGGCAATGCACAGAGAAACAAGTTAAGTGGTATTTTTAAAGACAGGAATGGATGCTCAAAAGACACAGTATTATTCACAAACTAGACCACACGGGGGAGCATTTTTCCATAGCAAGCTGGGAAGGTACAAGCTCTTCTCTGCTCCACTGTGTATTTTTGTGGGATTCAGAATTATTCAGTACTTGCTAATAAGATTCCCTAGAATTCTAATTTTTTTTCTTGTTTGTAATCTGATTATTTGGCAAAATATCAAACAAGCATCTCATTCTTACCAGGAAGAATGCAGATTCATATGCCCATTTGTCTTCTTTTAGAGTGTAGGCTTCTTTTGGGGGGAAATAGATCCTGCATTCATAGGAAAACAATGTAGTTTAAGTACTACTATGGAAACGGTTTGAAAGCTATTTCTAGATACTTCTCTCATAAAACTTTTAGGATTTTCTTTCAGTATTTTACCTTTATTACTTGGCATTTGTAATATTCCTAGTGATCAAATGTTATGTACAAAACTAATATAACTACAGAGCAATAAAATTCATTACAGGAAATAATAAAGTTTGTGTGTGTTATCTCTTGCATATACCTGGCAAGTATTCTTTCAAATCTCTGAAGCTGCAAAAGTCCTATGGCTCTAAATGTTAGAAGGGTCAGTGCAAATCTGACCTCTTCCTCCTAATCACTGCTATCTCTTTTCATTGCCCTAACATTAGAAGACTGACGTATACGGATACATGCAAAATGAAATATAACCAGAGAGCAATAACTGATCATTATCTACCAGAATATTGAGACAAGTTTAATTTTCAGAACATTTTTTGCCTCAGTTATCCAGAGAACTACTTTGGGCTTCATTTTGCTTTCTTTGAGGGATTTCAGTCAAAACACTGAGATCTTTTTATAGTGCCTGGTTACTTTAGTATACTCAAATTTACATGAAATTTTAAAACCATAAAATGGGAGAAAACAGAAAAACAAGTTATATATCCAAGATTCATTTATATTTATCTATTGCTCTTAGCCTATATATATTTTGATACACTTGTATTTTCAAGGCTATTTTAAGCTTTAATCTTGAATCTTTGCATAAGTTTTAAGTGAGAAGATTAGAGAATAATCTTATAAAGTATTCATATAATGAAAAATTGTGGAGACAATTGGAAACTTAACATGTCATCTAATAAGTGCATTAGTATTTTCCTACCCAGTTTCTTCAGGATAGAGAATATTCTTTTTCAACAGATATTTTATGAAGAAAACGCCTGGTATGTGCATCATTTGTAGATTACAGACTTTCTAAGAATTAAAATCTACATTTAATATTTAAAGATCCTGAGGCATTTAAAGGATTCTGTAACCTCTCAAGGTCATCACTATAAATATCAATCACTATGGTATCAAAGACACATAGGCCACAGAAGATCAGACAACAAAATATATTCTTCCATTCAATAAACATTATTATTACTTTGTATAAGGTAAAAATAAAATAGACAACAATGAAATTTTATCAAGATTCTATCCATGGAATTTAAAATGTTTAATATTGCACTTTCCCAGAGAATAAAAAGGAATTGGCAAAGTAATTGAAACTCTTAAAAATAGGCCATTATCAGAATTCAGGTCTCCTAATATTCCAAAATTCAATACAAACACAAACAAGCAGTTATTCTACTTAATAATTAGAACTTGGGTCTGGGGATGTGGCTCAAGCAGTAACGCACTCGCCTGGCATGCGCGGGGCGCTGGGTTCGATCCTCAGCACCACATAAAAATAAAATAAAGATGTTGGGTCCACTGAAAACTAAAAAATAAATATTAAAAAATTCTCTCTCTCTCTCTCTCTCTCTCTCTCAAAAAAAAATAAATAATTAGAACTCTAATCTGAATAATAAGCAGTTGGCACCTTTTATGCCTCTACCCATTTGCATTTTTTCTACCACCTTGCCATACCAGCTTTAGCTACTTACATTTGGTTGAACCTAAAATCCAGGTACAGTAACATAAAAGACAAAAAAAAAAAAAAAAAGATTCTGCTGACTAGGTATGGTAAAGGAAGTGAAATCTGTATCTATGAAAAAAATCCCACACCAGGAGCATCACCCTCAAATATGGAGTGTGTATATGTGTGTGTATATTTACATCTTGTGACTTATACATTCACTGATACAAATTATTGAATAAATTGATGTACTTTTTAATTTACAACTATTCTATTACAGTTAAATATGAACGGATCAAATTCTTGGTGATTGCCTTAAAGAATGCTGTGGAGATATATGCCTGGGCTCCTAAACCATATCACAAGTTCATGGCATTTAAGGTAAGTGGGCAGTGATTGCTTGGTTTTCCGTTTCCTCCAGCCATCTGTTCTCCACATAAACTAATACCAATTTTACTACATATGATAAATAATAAACCTATTTTGGAACTGTAGGAACTCATAGATTTATTATTTTTAAAACTACTATGAGATTAGTCAAACTAAATTTCTTTAAATATTTATTTTTTAGTTGTAGTTAGACACAATATCTTTAATTAATTCATTTATTTTTTTATGTTGTGCTGAGGATTCAACCCAGGGCCCCGCATATGCTAGGGGAGCACTCTACCGCCGAGCCACAACCCCAGCGCAGTCAAACTAAATTTTATGTTTACCTTCCTTCATTTGAGATCTGCAAATCATCATCTGCAAGAGACATTTGGTACAGGATGGTTACCAGGCAAAGTATTGATTATGATACTGTGCAATGATATCTGTTTTAAAAGCATCTAGAGTGTTATCTGGTGTTTGGGCTCAAAAGGGCAGACCACTGGCAGCACTGAATCTCCAAGTCTTACAATCATGAGGCTTTCTGGACCAAGTCTCTAAAACTCAGTTGATGCTATCTCCCTGTTGCTATTAGACTTCCCTGAAATGAACACTGAGTGTAGTCATTCATGGAAATGACCTAGTTTTTCTGCATTTTCCCAGGGGATTCATGAGATTGAGTGAAAGTGGGATTGGAATATGTTTAATCCCATCTGCCTCAGCTCATGAAAGCTGACCCCCAAATGCCAGAAAGACTTGTACTTGCAGGCCCCCTGATGTGTTCAGACTGCATAGCCAGTGTGACTTTATCTTCTGTTTTCTCTCTGCCTGTGTCTGTCTTTCTCAGTAGCTCTTTGGCCCTTGACTTTTCTCCATTTTTATAATTACCATCTCTCTTTGGCTTTTTATTTATTCTCTCCTGCCACATATGTCATGTGGGAGCCAAAGCTTTCCCTCTTCAGGGCTGAATCACCCCACTTCTCTGTTGTTCCCTTAATGCAAGTGGCTCATTTGTGATGTGCTCAGGAAGACAGATTGATCAGTGGAAATGGGCTCCCCTCCATAACCCCACTTTTATGGAAAGGAATTTTTGGAATGCATTAGGTTCATAATAACACTTAAGGGATGTCTCCAAAAATCTAATGTGCTGCTGCTCCTGTTGTGCCAAATTCTCTCCATAAAAGCTTTTCAGTGGAGATCCCATTCCCATTCTGACGTTGAAGTCACTGCCATCAGGTTACTAGCCAAAGCAATGAGAGAGTGCAAAATGCTCTGTTCAGCAGACCCGCCCCAGCCTGCAAGAGGGAAAAGCAAAGGCAAGAACTTGAATAGGGAGAACTAGAGCTGACCCCTAGGGACAGGAGGGGAAAGCTTCCTATGCTGTGAGATGCTAGCAGAAGATGAGGGGAGAAGGGTATATTAGGTAGCAGCGATAGTATCACCAGGGCAATGGTGGTTTCTCAAATCCTCCCCTAGATTTCAAGATGCAGTAAAGGTAGTATGTGAGTAAGTCATAGCAAAGGAAGAGGAACACTCAACAGCTGGTTGGGGCTTTTGTCCACAGAAGCTCAGCTAGAACTTTGTAGTTAAACCTTAGTTGTCAATGCAAGTCATAAGTCTTGTGATATTTCACCTCCATCCCTTTCTCTTATTGCCCAAACCTAAGTCTTAGATCTCAACACTGAGTTTAGAGAAAGCCTCTCTGATTCCCACTCAGTAACTGAAGGAAAGTGGGGGCCAGAGCATGCTCACCCCAGGCTGTCTCTGAAAGATAGCAACCACAGATGGTCCTTGCTGCCACATAGCAAAGAGAAGGGTCAGAGAGGTGACAGGACCTTCTCCAGAGAGCAAAGGCCAGAAGTAAACAGAACAGCAGCACCCAGACACCAAGCTTTAAAGATAGAATGACACTATGAACATAGCTATAAACCACCTTCTCTGCGGTAAACCCTGCACTGCCCTGAGGACCAGAGATGGAGAAAGGAGGCAAAAAGGGCTGATGGACCCTTCCTCCTGGAGCTAGAATATGAGTAGACCTACCAAAGACAAATATCCTGGCTTTTCAGCTTTTCAGAAATTAACTTAGTGGCTACATATTATTCAGATAATGTCTTTAAATGATGTGGATACTTACAGGGTGATTTTTAAAGTCTTTTTCAGATCTTCAGCACAAGCCCCTGCTAGTTGATCTCACTGTAGAAGAAGGTCAAAGATTAAAGGTTATTTTTGGCTCCCACACCGGTTTCCATGTAATTGATGTTGATTCAGGAAACTCTTATGATATCTACATACCATCTCATGTAAGTTTCCCAAAGCAGACTATAAAGGGCCTTCTGCATGTAAAAGATTTGTTTTGCACATTTTTAGAAGTCATGCTAACCCTTACTAATTAGTAAAGCAGATGGACTTCGGGCCTTCACCAGGAAGACAGAATGCTTTCAACCCAACTTTTCAATTCTGCAGCTATTTCAATGAAATTGGCACATGGGCATTAAAATAGGTTGAAAGTCAAAATCTAGAGCTTGTATGTATAATCATATTAGTATTATTATGTAATGATTATTATAATGCAATTATATTCTTATTACTGTTTTATTATACTATATATTATATCTATATATATAATCTATATATAATAATATACTATATTTAAGTTTTTATAGGTGCTCCACATCTGGGATGATGGGACAAAATAGGTTAATAAGTAAAACATATAAATTTAGCTAATTTTTATTACTTCCTAAAACAGAGTAACATATAAAGAGATTATGTGACATTAATCTACATATTGTTTCTTTGGACTTTATTAAAATGTATTTTAATTTTTCCTTCAGGGCATGGATAAGTTTCCATTTTCAGTTTTGAATGGAAATTGTGTCATATTGTGTGGGAGAAAAACAATGATCAGATACTAATTTCCTAGAGAAAATCCCTTTTCAGCTAGTTTTAGTTCCTCTTTACACTATACTGCCTCAAGCAGCAGAGCTCAGCCCCTTGCCTTTATCTGAATGGGCTTTGCAGATGGACACGTGAGACAGCTTCTGCAACCTTCAGCTTGCACATCTGTCAATGGGAATGCCAGAACCTATCCCATAGGGTTATCATCAGCATTAAATTAAAAAATGGATATAACATTCATTCAAATTTGTAGTTCTTTTTTTTAAAAAAATATTTTTAGTAGTAGATGGACACAATACCTTGATTTTTTTATTTGGTGCTGAGGAGGGAACCCAGTGCCTCACATGTGCTAGGCAAGTGCTCTACCACTGAGCCACAACCCCAGCCCTGTAGTTCTTCTTCTTAACAATATAATATCCCAATTACTATGCTGATATGCTGCCTAAAACATGACTCCTAGAGGGAACTGCTGCACAGATTCACTCTCTAGAACTGTGCAGTATAAATTATGCATCCTGTGTGTGATCCTCAGGTGACACACAGAAGACACTGTCAGGAGAGTCTGAGGTCTTTTCTGTTGCTGACGGTATGTGAAGAGTTTGGAGACTCTAAAGAAGCACAGTCACAGAAAAAGATTATTTTAGTGCATTGTTGTACACATGCACACACACACACTAGTCATTCATTGCTGCATTACTCTTCACACCTGTGTGCGTGTGCACATAGAGCTCACACTCAGGCTCTCTGTGAGGGCATCACTGTGCTTGTTCCCGATCCCAACGTTCCTATCCATCTATCCATCAAGTACATACTGGGCTGCTGCGACATCCTCAACCAGGGATCACAGCAGCACCACATCTTCTAGGACAGGTCAGTTGACGCTTATTTCAATTGTATGTTTTTTTGTTTTTTTTAATTAGTGGTAATTCTAATTTTTTTCTAAACAAACCATTAATTTGGATTATTTTGGTATTTCAGCACCCAGATAAACAATCTGAGTCATGTACTCATAGCCTGCCTGGTGGGGACCGTCTTAGCCCCATTACAGCTGCTTCGCCTCATTCAGCTGCCTTGCTTTCTCCTCATCTTTTTGGGAAGCAATTGTTCTAACAGAAAACACATGAATTTCAATACCAGAAACTGATATGTTCAAATGCCAGTTCTCCCACCCAATACTAGCATAGCTTTGGTCAAGTTACCTAACCTTTCTGAGATACAGTCTCCTTATCTGTGAACAAAGATAACTCCCACGGGGATCTGTTCTAAGGGCCAGAGATCATATATGTAAAGGGTGCCTCACAAATACTAGGTACCCCATCAATACTGTGTTGTTGCTTTTAGGAACAAGTAAATTGGATTTGTTATCTAGCAACTAAGTTCATATTTATCAGGGCATCTGACAGATCTGTGATTAAATTAAGCAAAGAAAATCGTAGAGTGAAAGTTTCCATAAAAGCTTTTTTAAATTGCAAGAGATGAAAATCAAGGTGTTGTCTTATTTTCAAAAAGAATAATGCATGGCTTTTCTTTGTCTTTCAGATTCAGGGCAATATCACTCCTCATGCTATCGTCATCTTGCCTAAAACAGATGGGATGGAAATGCTTGTTTGCTATGAGGATGAGGGGGTGTATGTGAACACCTATGGCCGGATAACTAAGGATGTGGTGCTCCAATGGGGAGAAATGCCCACATCTGTGGGTAGGTTAACCATTCCTTATCTCCTTCAGCAGTTACACCCCCCAAATGAAACGAAAGTCAAGAAATGTGAAACAACCATTTGAGTCCACAAAAAAAAAAAAAAAATCTGTGAATAACACTTGTAAGACTTACTTTGTCTGTTTATCTCAAGTCGTTTGTCATTTATGTGGTTAAGATGTGAACAGATGCTGTGAGTTATTGCCCATCTAATGTTTTTAATGCAGTTTTGGAAATTCCTTTTGACAGCCTACATTCATTCCAATCAGATAATGGGCTGGGGCGAGAAAGCTATTGAGATCCGGTCAGTGGAAACAGGACATTTGGATGGAGTATTTATGCATAAGCGAGCTCAAAGGTTAAAGTTTCTTTGTGAAAGAAATGATAAGGTAAATCCGTTTCAACATTTGCATTAGTGTTTGCATTTTAAGAGACCACCAGGTACCTGTGAAACCTTCATTCTCCTTTATACTGATCTGAATCACCTCTGTGTTAATCAGTAGTATCTTGAAATGGCATTATCTGGTTTGACTCATGTGAACACTCAAGATTATTACTCACATATCAAAACAAACATCTAGAAATTTCTCATAAGCTCTTATATATAACTTCTGTGGGCTGCGGGCCTTCTGACAACTCAACAGACACCCCCAGATTCTCCTACGCACTTAGAGCAGTTGGCCCATCATCTTCATCTCCCAGTGGGTCAGCTTCACAATTCCCCTCTTAGACTCTTCACAAAGTCACTGTCAAAACCTAACCCTACTCTTATATTCACCCTTAAGTGTAAAACATTTGAAATGTATAAATATAAACTTTTGAAAGTTGTCACCCATTCCTTAAGAAATGCACAGTCACAAACTCAACTAGTGCCATGTCCTGTGTCATTCCAGCCATGTCTCTTCTGAAATGTCATAGGGGGACTGTTGTCCAGTGGAATTGGCTGTGTCCATGCAGCATGATCAGACGCTTCTGAGGGGTATCCTGCAGCAGTGCTTCTTCTACTGTGCCCTCCCTGTAGAGTAACCCAGTTTTTAGTAGCTAAGCTATATTTGCATTTGTAAATCCCACCTTTGTGGCCATGGCCAACAAAGAGATGCTGCCCCCGTGCAGCAGGCATAAACACCTAGGAAAGAACGGGACAGGTTGGGCTGCTGTATACCTCTTCGTTCACCCTGGGGTTCCCCATTGGCCAGGCTGGTCTTTGTCCAGCCCTGGTGGAATGGGCCTAGACTACATCCCACCCTGGCCAACTTCCCTGGCCTGGTGTGGTCTGGGTGGACAACAGTTATGGGTGGCAAGGATGTACCAGAGACTGAGGAGTATTATTTAAAAAAAAAAAAAAAAAACAGAGCTAACCTAGTAAGATTCCAACAGCTACCCAGTCTCTGGGATCCCAGGATGAGGAGTGATCTGGGTGTGAACACCCACACTCTGGTTCACTGATGACCCACTCTAACAGGCCTATTTCAAGCCAGGCCCACATCATTAAAAGAAGGCTGGACCACACCAGTGTCTAGACCTGAGGTGGAGAGCCCAGGACACACAGCCTGGAGAGAACAGCAGCCCTTTCCTTCCCTCATTATGGCCTTCCATGGGTTCTCTCTGTCCTTCCCCATTTTGATTCAATGACCCTAAGAGTAGCTTTACTTTCATATGTAGCATTAACTGAATGAAAATCATTTCCATAGACTTCTTAAGAAGTTGTTGGGAGAGAACATTCTTCTGAAGAAGTTATGGAAATGAAGTAGCAGAGACTTTATACTAGTGATAAAAGCAAAATAAATGCCTTGGACCAAAGTTAGGTGTTGGCTGATGAAGGGCTACGCCACAGCCCCAAATCCTGTTTTCCAAGGGCAGTGGTTCATTTACATTCAGCTCAAGCAAGCAGTAACCCGAATTTTGCTCACTTCTCTCAGTCATTTGATAAAATGATTTAACAGGCTCAGACCTAATGGACTGTGGTTCTACTTATTAATGCCATTATCTGCTCTGGCCACAAATATGCCAGCATCAGCAGAGAAGCTAAGTGTTAACTCCCAAAATGCCACAGTAAAGAAGCATTAAACACTTGACTGTGTTTGACCACAGCCATTGAAATTGCTTGATTTGAAATTTTAAAAATTGGAAATGGAAGTTATATAATAGTAGACCCAAAGTTTGCCCATGACTTTGGGAATTTGAAAGGATCCTCTTCCACCTTAAAGTCTGCCTTCATGTCATTTATGAGGGAGAGAAGGGGAGCCTCTGTGCCTTTCTGAAAATCATCAAAGGACCTGTTGTGTCCTGGGCCAGAAGTCAGGACTTTTATCCTAGCAGGAAACTCTCTTTTAAAATGTGAGCATTCCAAAAGATGTCACAATGATATCCAGCCCCTGCAGCGTCCCTGGAGGCCAATACCGTAATAGTAGTTGATATCAAACCAGAGTAATAAAGGCAGGTGTGTTTACATAGGCTGCACTGTCTCAGAAGGCACTTTATAAGCACTAGCCATTGAGTCTTAAGAGCTGACACATGGCAGGGATAGGACATGTGAAAGGAAATGGATGGACGGTTGAAGAAAAGAGGGGAAAAAAACATGCAGTCGAACTAACTTGTTTTT